AGAAACAAAAACAAAAAAAGAATATATAATGAACTCCCACAACTAAACAACAACAAAACTCAAATAACACTATTAAAATATGGGTAATGGACTTGACATTTCTCCAAAGATGATATACAAATATCCAACAAACATATGGAAAAATGCTGAACATCATTATTCATCAGAGAAGTGGAAATCAAAATCACAATGATATATCACTTCACACCCATTAGGATGGCTACTATTAAAAAAAAAACTAGAAAGTAACAAGTATTGGCAAGGATATGGAGAAACTGGAACTCTGTACTCTGTTGGTGGGATTATAAAATGGTGCAACTACTTTGAAAAACAGCATGGAGATTCCTCAAAAAATTAAAAACAGAACAACTATATAATCCAGCAATCCTGTCTTTTAGTATATACCCCAAAGAATTGAAAGCAAAGAGATAATTGTACACCCACATTCATAGAAGCATTACTCACAATAAACAAAGGTGGAAGCAATCCAAATGTCTACTGACAGTTGAATGGATAAAAAAAAAAAAAACAGAATAAACATTTAATGAAATATTATTCAGCCCTAAAAAGGAAAGAAATCCTGTTACATGCTACAACATGATGAACCTTGAGAATATGCTAAGTGAAACAAGCCAGATACAAAAAGACAAATACTATATGATTCCACTTAGATGAGGTATTTAGAATAGTCAAAATTATAGAGACAAAAAGGAAAATGGTGGTTCAGAGAGTAGTAAGGAGAGGGAAAGGGTAGTTGTTATTTAATGGGTATAGAGTTTCAGGTTTGCAAGACAAAAAAGTTCTGGAGATCTGTTTTACAACCATGTAAATATTCCTAACACTACTACACTATACACTTAAAAATTGTTAAGATAGTATATTTTGTTATGTATTTTTTATCACAATAAAGAAAACTCAGAAGAACATTATACTCCTTAATGACTGCTACCATCAGTATGGTGTCACTAATGGATGTCTCAATATACAATTAAAATGAGTGGTGAATGATAGGATGGGTCCCTCTGGACCTATTCTACCTCTTGGAAAATAAATGTAAACATAAGTACCAAGTTAATCACAGGGAAAAACTTTTCTACCTTCATATTGCACAGGTATTAACTACCACTTCCAAGCTCCATCTCTAGCAAGAGCAGTGGTGGCCACCTTTGTGCTGCTACCACAAAATCGGAAGCACACTTGATTGCAATTTTGCACAGTCTAGTTAAAAAGAGCAACTGCTCAGCTAAATATTTGCTGCAATGAGTCCAAAATAACTTATGTGCAAGGATATCCTTAGCTGGCACCAGAGAAGTTTGTTAAATTAGGTTATATATACAACAGGTAAGTAATTGAACTATAATCAAGATGCCCTAATTTGGCATTTGAAGACATTTACATCTCTTGTGGACAAACGGGCTCAGCTATGTCATGCATTCATCAACTCTGTATCACTGAATTCAACTTAACAAAGTCATATCTTCCGGGACAAATTTTGAGAATTTAGTGGGAGCAAAAAGCCCATAATGTGAGAAGTGGACTGTGCACTGTATCCCAAAGGACAGATCTCCTGAAATGCTTCACTCAGGTAGCATACCCTGTGCTGCCTTCTGCTAACTCCCCTAGGAATTATACAGCTATTAACCCAGCAGCAATAATTACCCACCTTGTACAAGTGGCTACTTACCAACTAGTTCATTTCTCTTCAGGTCATGAGGAAGAAGTCACACTGTTTATTTACTTATCTAGTAGTGGTTTGTGGGCTTCATAAATAGTTTTATTTGCATATGTTATTATCATCTAAATTCCCTGGCATTTGATTATATCTCACAGAGAAAACCAAGATATTTCTGGCAACCCTGCTAGAATCCCAGATCTCACATTTAGCAGCATTATAACCCTGAGCAAGTCATTTGGATTTAAGCCTGGAGTCCTCATCTGTAAAATGAGACCAATAACAGCTCTTCCATAGGGTTGCTATATAAGTTAAATGAAAGAATCTACTTCAGAACCTGGCACGCAGTAGATGCTGATCAGAAATTATTTCCCTCTCTTCTTCCTTACTCAAGAGCAGAGGCCAGCAAATTTGTTCTGTAAATGGCAAAAGAGTAAATCTTTACTCTTTGTAGACCATATGGTCCTCTGTCACAACTATTCAACTCTATCACTGTAACACAAAAGCAGCCACTGACAAACATCATGGCTGTGTTCCAATAAAAGATTATTTTATAAAGCAGGCATTGGGCCAGATTTGGCTCACAGGCCATAGTTTGCCAATCCCTGTTACTTATATCACATATATCCAAGTATCATGCCAAGTTAAATTTTCACCATTCTGTTTGATTTCATCTGTTCCAGATATATTCTTCCCTTGTATCTCCTTATTGCTTTTATTCTATTTCTTTAATGTATCAGAACAAATGTTCCTGGTTCCATTACTTGACTTAGCTTCTCATTTTGAATTTTAGGACTTGAGAAGTTTCAGTAGGTGTTGAGCACTCAGACCTAAGATGCTCTAGTGATTTATTCACACAGTGGGTTCTGGGTAAATCAGCCAGAGTTAAGCAAAATCCCCTCAACCCACACAAAAAGACTGGGAAAGGGGCCATCCCTTGGGAACTCAGAGTTTACTAGGAGATTTTATTTGTGGAGAAGCAATGGTTGCAACTGATTCCCCAGTTTTAAAAATATTCCCTTAAAATTTTGTTTTCATTGGCTAATCTATGTAAAGGCCTTCTTAAAAAATATGTAAGTACTAAAAATGACAGTGATCATGTATGGTGAAGTGAGAACTCAAGATGGAGTGATAAGGATGAGAGGGAGCTTTACTGAGTATTTTTAAATGTCTGTAATTTTAAACCATGTGAATATATTATCTCTTTAAAAATTAATTTTTCCAAAGAATAAAGAAATATTTTGGTTTACAAAATTAGCCTATTATAAAAAGACACAAATGTGAGGTGTGGGGTCTGACAGGAGCCTACTGGAGATTCTGTCATAGCCCCACAGTCTGGCTGTTACTGGGCTTCTGTGTACTTCCGCCTTCTGCTCTGTGTGACTCAAAGACAGAGTAGAGCACTTTGGCATGAAGAGTGAATGGACTTCACTCTCCGTTTGACAGAAGTGGAATTAGAAGCAGGACACATTTTTCAGTATTTGATCATTCTTTCTATCAGGCCATAATTCTCCCCATGGGTTCCACATACCCTCCCCTCTTTCTCAGTGTGTCCACATTTACATACCCTTTCTAGCTCCTTCAATCTCTCTGCCTTCAAACAAGCGTCAACTTTTTAAAAAAGAAACTTTTGACTTTACTTTTAACTACTGCCCTTTGCCTCATACTGTGTTTTCAATCTAATGCCTGGAAATACTAGGAATTATTCTTTTTCACTTCTGAATTACCTGCAATCCAGCTTCTACTTTCATTCCTTCATTAAGTCAGTATTTTTCTAAGGTCTTCATTAACTCTTTCAGTTAATAGATTTTCCCCCCTTAGTCTTTATTCTTCTTGATCTACCTTTTGCAAAGAACAAAGCTGATGACCATTTTATTTAGTATCTCTTTCTCTCTCCATTTAATACCCAAGAATTCTCTCTGTCCCTTCTGGTCCTCACAACTGGATCTCTTCCTTGTTCCTCTCTCATAACTGGGCTACAGCTTGAATCTCATTCATCAATCCCTCTTCTTTTCTTCATCTAGCCTCCTTCTTTCAGGGAATCCATCTATTCTCAAGTCTTTATCTTATGGGAGGAATAAAGCAGATGGTGGCCTGGAGCCTGGCTCTGTGACTTACTAACTGTGCTGCATAGGAAAAGTGGTTCACCTTTCTAAACTCAGTTTCCTCTGCTCTAAAATGGAGATTCATTCATTCAATAGTCTTTATTGAGCACTTACTATATACCAGGCATTGTTCTAGGGACATGAGATTCATTAGCAAACTAAACAGATAAATATTCCTGCCCTCACAAAGTTCCCATTCTAGCAGAGGGAGACAGACCAAAAATAATAATTAGAAAATTATATAAAATTACAGAATGTGGTGAGATCTATAAAAGAAAGAAAAAGAGGTCAGGTTACACCTTTCATTTTTTTTTTTTTTTCTGAGACTGAGTCTTGCTCTGTTGCCTAGGCTGGAGTACAGTGGCATGCTCTCAGCTCACTGCAACCACCACCTTCTGGGTTCAAGTGATTCTCCTGCCCTAGCCTCCAGAGTAGCTGGGATTAGAGGTGCACACCATCAAGCCTGGCTAATTTTTATATTTTTAGTAGAGATGGGGTTTCACCATGTTGGCTAGGCTGGTCTCAAACTCCTGACCTCCAGTGATCTGCCCACCTCAGCCTCCCATAATGCTGGGGTTACAGGCATGCGCCATGGCACCCAACTGGGTTACACCTTTTAAAAGATGGTCAGGGAAGACCTCTCTGAGAAGGTAATATTTGAGCAGAGACTTGGAACCAGTGAAGGAATTATAAATGAGGGCATCTTCTGGAGAAGATGTAGACAGAAGCAGCTGACAATGGTCCTAAAGGCAAGAAGCATGTCAAGCACATTCTAGGAACAGAAAGAGGTCGGGGGGAGGGATTGAAGTGAGCATGGAAAAAAGTAGTTGGAAATGAGGTCAGAGAGGAAATCAGGGGAAAAGCCCATGTAGGACCCTTGAATATTGGCAACCCTCTATTGCAGAGTTTTGAGCAGAGGGATGACATAATCTGATTTACCTTTTAAAAGGATCACTCTAACTATTCTGTTGGAAATAGACTATAGTGGGAGCAGAATAGAAGCAGAGAGACCAGTTAGGAGGCCACTGCAGTAATCCAGGAAGGAGGTGATGGTGGCTGGGACCAGAATAAAGCAGGAGAGAAGTGGTTAATATAGGATTAAAAACCTACCTTAGATGGCGGTCATAAGAATTTGATGGGAGAGTTATTACAGGTATAGTGCCTAGCAGATGCCTCGTATAAAGAAGATGTTAAGTAATATCCTCTGTCATTATATTTTGCAGGCAGACAGCTTCTCTGAGTCACTATATGGAGGAGACCAAAGCCAGAGTGTGATAGCCAAGGTCAGTTGACCTGGAGGTTGGCAGCTGCCCTCATCTGATGTAGTAAAGGAGGCTGGCCTGAGGAAGAAACTTGATATTCTTTTAGCCCTTCTCTCATATCCCAACTCCAGTTTGGATTTCTAACTTCCTGTAAACCATTTCTTCTTAAAAGTTTCATCATATACTCAATATCTATGCACAGTTTTTAAAAAATTACCTGCACCACCTCTACCTCAAACTAGCTACCCATCCAAATGTCTCCTTCTATGAAAGACAGATCAGTCTCCAGATGCTAAAAACCTGGCTTCATTTTTGCAGAACTGTGAAATGAATTGGATGTTGGTAGCATAGTCATAAACATCTCTTTTTACAAAAGATGAAACAAGGCTCAGAATGAAACATGCCAATCTGTGAGCCACACCAGGCTTTAATCACCAAATGGCTCCTGAAATCTTTCTAGCAAGGTCTAGAACCAGTTTTCTGGACTCATTCACTTTCTCAACACTTCCCTCCATTCCACTTGCCTGATCTATATCACAGCAGTTCCTCAGATTGGCTGCCACAGGCCAATATCTCTACCCTGGTCACCACCATGGCTGCCAGGACCATCTTTCTTTTATTGGCAATTAACCCTTCTGGAAAGACTACAGGAGACCATGGCCTACACTGCTTTAAGAATGCTGGGTATGGGTTCAAATCCCAGCTTTGTACTTACCAGCTGTGAAGACTTGAGTAAGTTTTCTAATCACATTCTGTCTTAGTTTCCTCATCTGAAAAAATCCTCCCTTTTAGGACTTAAGTAGAGCAAGGCTTGTAAAATACTTAGTACAGAGCCAAACACAAAATAAGAGCTTAAGAAGTATTAGTTATTGGCTGGGCGCGGTGGCTCACGCCTGTAGTCCCAGCACTTTGGGAGGCCAAGGCGGGTGGATCACGAGGTCAAGAGATCGAGACCATCCTGGTCAACATGGTGAAACCCTGTCTCTACTAAAATTACTAAAAATTAGCTGGGCACGGTGGCACGTGCCTGTAATCCCAGCTACTCGGGAGGCTGAGGCAGGAGAATTGCCTGAACCCAGGAGGCGGAGGTTGCGGTGAGCCGAGATCGCGCCATTGCACTCCAGCCTGGGTAATGAGCGAAACTCTGTCTCAAAAAAAAAAAAAATAAATAAATAAATAAATAAATAAAAAAGTATTAGTTATTATTGTCAGTCCCTTTCAGAGAAGTTGCTGTGGATGCCTGATGAACAAATTCTAATTGCCTTGGTGTGGCCTTCAGGGCCTTTCCATACCTACTATAGGTATGGAAACTTTCACTGATCTCTGATGACAAACCTTCCAAACAGGACAGCTCTCTGTGTATGCCCATATCTGTGCTCATTGCCATTTCTACCTCTGTGTTTTAGTTTATGCTCCTCTTACCTGAAACGCCATCTTCCTTCTCCTTTATCTGTCTGAATCCTGCACATCCTTCAAAGCTCCACTTAAGGTTTAATACTTCACAAGAACAGCCCAGGAAAATTCTAGCTCCACTAGTATTATTACTTCTCTATAATACCACTGTATTTACATGCAGTACTTACTGATCACTTCCTCATGAAGAGGAATGAGGGCATTTAGTTAATAGTATGGGTTCTAGAGCAGACTGCCTGGTCTTCCTCAGCCTTCCTCCTCAGCCATAAAATACGGTTAACATAGGGGTTGTTGTGAGGATTGCATACACAAATACTTGATATATGTTAATAATTAATATGTTATTACTGTTATATATTTGTTAACTTTTTCCTCTTTTTTCAATAAACCTGTATTTTCTTCCCCCAGGTTATTCTATCCATATGCACTATACCTTTATCCAGTGTCTAGCACAATGCTGGTCTCAGAGTAGTGTTCAACAATGAATGGATGTAAAAACAAAAATGAGGAGGAGTGCCCATGGCAGTTACATCAATATTCTCTATCCAATCTGAATGGCTGCTGAACTCTTTCTTCTCCCCTACCTTATAGTTTTCCAGTGAGGGAGAAACTACAACCCCTTTCAGAGAGGCAACATAATACTATAGAATAAAATTGGACTAAGAATCACAAGACATGGGTTTGCATCTCAGCTTCCCACACAAAAGGTCTGTCTGGTTTGTCTGTCTCTGTTTCTACCTGTCTTTTGGTTTCTGTCTATCTGTGTCTATCTGTCTCTGTCTATCTACCTACATTTATCTACCTACATTTATTTCCATCTATCTATCTATCTATCTATCCATCCATCCATCCATCCATCTATCTATTTTAGCTTAGGAAAAATCACTTAAGCTCATGGACCCTCTGTTTCCATCTCTGTAAAGGGAGAATAATCTGGCATGACCTGCCGTCTTCACAGGATGGCTGTGAAGATCAAGTAAAAACAAACAAAAAAATGCATGGGCCGAGTACAGTGGCTCACACCTTAATCCCAGCACTTTAGGAGGCCAAGGTGGGTCGATCACCTGAGGTCAGGAGTTTGAGACTAGCCTGGCCAACATGGTGAAACCCTGTCTCTACTAAAAATACAAAAATTAGCTGGGCATGGTGGTAGGTGTCTGTAATCCCTGCTACATGGGAGACTGAGGCAGGAGAATCTCTTGAACCCAGGAGGCAGAAATTGCAATGAGCTGAGATCATGCCATTGTACTACATCCTGGGCAACAAGAGCGAAACTCTTTCTCAGAACAAAAAAATGCATGTGAAAAAGCTTCGCACACCATTAAGTCATATATAAATTATATGTAGCCAGGTGTGGCCATTTATATGATATCAAATAAGAACCGTTAATAATTATCAAGTCAACTGGATCTACTTCCATTGGCCTCCTGAGGAAAGGGCCATTACCACAGTAATCATAGTAAATCTCTTAACCCAGATGCCTCTTAAAATATCAAAATTATTACTTATACTATGGAGCTCAGTCCTTAGATTTAAAAAAAAAAAAAGCTTTCTTTCTTTTCTTTTTCTCTTTTTGAGACAGGTCTCGCTCTGCTGCCCAGGTTGGAGTGCAGTGGCCTGACCACAACTCACTGCAACCTCAATCTCCTTGGCTCAAGCAATCCTCCTGCCTCAGCCTCCTGAGTAGCTGGGACTACAGATGTGTGCCATCACTACTGGCTGATGTAGAGATGGGGTCTTTCTATGTTGCCCAAGCTGTCAGTCCTGAGAATTTTGATAAGTCTGTCTTCAAACATTTCATCATATCTAGCAATTTGTCAAAAATATAGATTTACTCAAAATGTCAACTTCACATCCCAGAGTCCTTGGGTAGTACATAATATACATAACATGGGTATTAGCCACAGTTCTCAAAGAGGAGAAAGAGTAAAGAAAAATAAAGATCCCTAACTAATTAGAAATGTCTGGTCTATTTATACAAGAAGTTAACATTGGAGATGTGGAACGTATTCTGGAGTCAGAAGAAATGAATCAAAACACTCTGAGGGTAACTGGAGTATTCTATGCATATATTCCTGAACTATTTGTGTGTGTATAGCTATTGTTCTATTTAATTTTGTATTGGATCCAAGGGGTTCCAGCATTCATCAGTAGTCATGATAGATTTGAACAATATGAACAGAGAATTATATACCAGGCAGGAGCATATCAAACTAATGCATTGACAAGGGCAATTCTTAGTGATGTATACTCTTTGCCTCATGCAGTGATTATTGTGATTTTTCTTTTCTTTCTTTGAGAAATCAGTTAGATTTACCAAAAATAGCCATACATTTTATAACAGAGTATAGAGAGGGTGACTTTCTCCCAGCATTACTTTAAAAAAATCAAGTGAGAAATCACTCAGGTTAAGAAAACCATCTTACCTCTATTTTTTCCCATATGGCTTCATAGTTGTCTTGGTGCTGAATATCTTGCATTAGTTTCTGAATTAAAGCTGACTTAGTGGCAGAATGCCTCTCATTTTTCTCAGAGGATGAAGCTCTTTCTGACTTCTCATCAGCGTGTTTTTTCATGCCAGAGAGAGGCATACAGGACTCCTCATCAGAAAGAATGTCACTCAGGGGCCCAGATTCAATGCTCTCCCCTAGTGAAGAGGCTATGTCACTGGATGAGCTTGGAGACACCCTGCCTAGCCTTGTATGCTTCTTCTTGACATGATATGTTGGATAGATCTCAGAATCTGAATTCATTTCAGACAGTTCCCAGTCATCAATATTCTGGATGGTTTCTCCTCTGGGTTTCTGAGGCAGAAGCTTTGTTAGGTTTTCCAACTTCAAAGCCAATACTTCCGTCTGCTTAAGGTGAGAGGGCAGCGCTAGGTATTCATCAGAGCCATACCAGGCCTCCACAACCTGACCATTCCTGGTGACATGACTTGGAGATGAGGCATGACCTTTTTTGCTTTTGTGTTTTGAAAGAAGTGGCACCGGAGACATGATGTTGTCTGAGCCAACAGAGGATTCACTACTCTGAGTAAAAGGTGGTGAACCGGATGTTTCTGACTGCAATAGCAATTTGGCATTCAGACTTCTCTGATTACAAGGCTCAAGTGAGGATGTGGAAGCAGAATTTGTTTCTGGCCCCTCTATAGCCTTGGAAGTACAAGAAAGCTCTCCATTTGGCACTGCTGAGCTCCTTGTATTTTTAGCTTGTTTGCCTGAACCGGTCCCCCGTTTAGGAGTTCGGCATGGAGGCACCTCTTCTGAGGTCTTGTGTGGCTTTTTAAGTCGAGATTTCTCTTTACAGCAGTCGTTAAGCCTTCCCAGGCTGGAAGAAATTTCTTTAATGTGAAGTTTGACTGTGTTTTCAAGATTCCCAATCCCCACTTTGTGCAAACACTCGTAAGACTGGCTGGCAGCAGAAGGGCTGTTGGAGTAGGAAGACTGCAACACCAGGCAAAGCTTAGATCTGTCAGGTGGATCTACCAGTGAAGGGGTGCTTCTGCTCAACTCAGGCTTTAGATCAACCATTTGCTTAATTCTGTTGCTGCCTTTCAGATCATTCTTAAAAGTTTCTTCTTTAAGAAAAAGCCCTCTTTTTGGCAATGTGGGTTGTGTGGGAGAGTCCTCATTATAATTAAAGCAATCTCTGATGGTTCGCTTGGGGGTTGCATTTTCACAAGGAATGGGCTGGTGATTCTTTGCACCAAGATGAGAGGAGGAACTGGATTCTTGCTTCACAGTCTCAGAGGAGGATTGAACAGCATTTGTCAGAGCTTCTCCTGAAGATGATGACACCCCTGGTGTTAAGCCTGGTTGCTCTTCGACTGCAGAAGCATTTTCTTCCTCACATCCACCTTTGTCGTCTACTGAGAGAGACACTTGAGATACCTCCTCATTAACTGCTTCACTGCCATTGGTAGAGATAGAGTCAGCAGCTACCGTAAGTAACCCAACACTTCGGATAAGCTCAGGAAACTCCTTTTCCATCTCACTGTAGCTCCAAGAGTCAAAGGGTTTGGTTTTGACTTGGCTAGAAGTCATGTCACCTAGGCCACTGAGCAAATCCTCACTTGGACTGTAGTCAGACAATTCAAATGCAGTAATGCCACAATCCAGAGACAAGTAATTTTGAGAACATTTGATAGTTAATTGTCCTGAGTCATCCACTTCTGTAAGAGAATCAAGCCGGCCCTGAAACAGACAATGGCAATGGTTTCAGTAAACATAATATCAAGTACAACATCAGTTGCTGTTTAAATGAAATCTCAGTACAGGGCACTATAAAAGTCAAAAATGTTATCAGTCCCAATTGCTTCTGGTTTGACATACACAAAAGGATATTAATCAGTTACCACATTGCTTTATATAGTATCTTGTTCTTAAATACCTGAAGATTTTTCACTAATCTGGAGCATACAGCCTTAATAGAAATGTCAAAATCAAACCAAAAATATCCATTCTTGCCGTAATTTTCAACTTAAAAATAATATATTCTTCATTTAATATGCATTTCATTTAATGAACAAAGCCTTAAGTAATACAATTTCTGGGATCAAAATACTGTAAAAGTAAAATCTCCATGAATGTCTGTTTTGCTTTTCACTATCATTCTAGTACTTACCAGAGTGGCTAACTCATGGCAGATGCTCAATAAATATCTTTAAGTAGAATAATTAGTTATATTAAGCTTGTGTTAAATATATATTGATAAGTCAAAGGAAGATGAAACTACTGAATTTGTAAATAGATAACAGTTTGAGACTAGTTTCTGCTAGGCCTCACCCTTTTAAAGAAGAAAATTAATGAGTGTCCAAACTTTATCATCAGAGAGCCTCATCTCCTCCCTCTGCATGTGTTTTTCCCCAAGTCCTGCCCCCACTGGTGTATGTAAGCTATTAAGTGCCCATTTTTCTTGCTATTCACAATTCTGGATAGGCTGATTTGATTTTAAACTCCCTCATGCTAAAAACCAGCATTAGAAGTAGTAACTGTTTTTAACTTGTTAAATTTTTAATTGTGTAATTAAGGCTTTTGTCTCATTATTAATGCAGTTTCTGATTTCATACAACAAATGGGAAGATGTTCACTGATGCTTTGCTTCAGTGGGTACTATCCTATTATGCCTGTTGGCTATATGACATCCTGGTCTATCCTAGCCCCTTTAAAAAATAAAAAAAGAAAACTGAAAAGTGAAGGGTTGTTACCTCCCCAAATTTCCTTTTTTTCTGGAGGAGGAACTGGGGTGAGCCAACTGAAGCTGGATCCTATGTGGCTGCTGGATCCTGTGATCCTTTCAACCAGGTTTTCCCAAGATCTGGCTTCTCCAGGATCTTACATTGGGTTTTATTGCTCATTTGTTTGTTGTGTTTCTGGAATGTTCTCTCCCTTCAGACCTTCACCCTAACTTTATCTCCTACTCCGCTCATTCTCATTCCATAATTTAGATAAACAGATAAAATGCCTAATTTAACTTTTCTAAGCCTCAAAGATGATGGTTGATTACTATAATTACTTTTTCATTTAATCCTTAAAATTTTCTTCTGGGGTCTGTACTATTATCCTCGTCTTACATAAGAATAGCTTGGACCAAAAGATGACACATAGTAGTCTATGGCCTCAAGATGAAGAGCAAGCTCAGCCTTGGACTGAGACCGTCCCCAAAGTCTGTATTCTGACCATTATATATTACTTTAAACTGGCATGCCCCCAACTCCAATTTATTTTCCACACTGCCACCAGAGTAACCTTTACAAATTGCAAATCTGGTATTGTTACTTCTTTGTTTAAAGTCCCTTAGAAGCATCCTGTTGCTGTTAAGTTAAAAACCCAAACCTTTCCTCAAAAAAAAAAAAACAACTAAAAATTGAACTACCAATCCCACTACTGTATATATACCCATAGAAAAGGATATCAGTATGTCAAAGAGATACCTGAATTCCTATGTTTATTACAGTACTTTTCATGATAGCCAAGATACAGAATCAACCTCAGTGTCCATCAACAGATGAATGTATAAAGAAAATGTGGCATATATCCAAAATGGAAAACTATTTTGCCTTCAAAAAGAAGAAAATTCTGTCATTTGTGACATGGATGAGATTGGAGGACATCATAAGTGAAATAAGCAAGGCACAGAAAGACAAATACTGCATGTTCTCACTAATATGTAGAAGCTAAAAAAGTTGAACTCATAGAAGCAGACAGTAGAATAGCAGTTACTAGAGGCTGGGAAAGGCAGGGGGTGGGGACAGATAGAGGCCAGTTATGGATACAAAATTACAGCTAGATAGAAGGAGTAAGTTCCGGTTTCTGTAGCAGGGTGAAATGACTGTTAATTAAAAGTAATTTATTCTACATTTTCAAATAGCTAGAAGAGTGAATTTTGAATGTCCCAACATGAAAACATGATAAATGTTTGAAGTGATGGGTATGTTAATTGTCCTGATTTGATGATTTCATTGTGTACATGTATCAAAATATTATACTATACCCCATAAATATGTACAATTTTTAGGTGTCAATTAAAATAATAAAAGCAAAAAAAGACACACTTAAATACAAAGATACATTGCTTTAATATCTGACAACCTTCCAAGTATATGACTGAGAATAGAAATAAACCATATTATAGATAAATATTTTTAAAACACAACCAAAAGCCTTCAGAGGCCAGGCACAAACAGGCCCTTCTTATACTATTCTCCCCTCACTGGCCACACTCAGCCAGTGTCCTCCTTTCACTTTTTGAAAATACCATGTTTCCTCCTACCTCAGGCCCTTGGCACATGCTGTTTGCTCTGCCTGGAAAGCTTCCAACCTATACCCCTTGACTCTTCCTTGCCACTCAGATTTCAACTTAAGTTTCACTTTTTCAAGATTCCAGATCCACATATAAGGCAGAATCTTTTATTATATGCTTGCTCTGTTTCAATTTAAGCATTTATCTCAATTATCAATAAACATTATTGTGATTATCTGACTAATTTGTTTTTTCCACTAGTTTCTAAGCACCATGAGAGTATAAATTACATGGAAAATGGCTGTCTTACTAGGGTACCTGTAGCATCTAGCATAGCGATATGCACATAGTATGTACATATGTTGAATGAATGAATGAATGATGACATTTTGGAATGTCTCTCTATGCTTTCCTATAATTTTTTTCTCTGATTATGTAGTTTTAGTTAACTCCAATAATTAAAAGCCCCAGTTTCAATTTCTGGCTCTAGTGCTACTTAGTTATGTGACCATGAGCCAGTAGCTTGATGGTGCTAAGCTTTATTTCCTTCCTCTATAAAAAGGAAATGATAAGCCACATCATAGGGGTGCTGAGAGGCTTAAAGGAGATAATATGTGTAAGATAGAAGTCTGGTACATGGATGGGTACTCAATGAATGTTCACTTTTATTATTTTTAGTAATAAA